CTGCCGCATTCTGCAGTTTTTGAGTCACCTTCAAAGGCAGGCCTACGTAGAGCACATTGCACTAGTCCAAGCGGGAGATAACCAGAGCATGCACCACTCTGGTGAGACAGTCTGCAGGCAGATAGGGTCTCAGCCTACGTACCAGATGGAGCTGGTAAACAGCTGCCCTGGACACAGAATTGACCTGTGCCTCCATGGACAGCTGCAAGTCCAAAATGACTCCCAGGCTGCGCACCTGGCCCTTCAAGGGCACATTTACTGCATTCAAGACCAGGGAGTCCTCCACGCTAACCCGCCTCCTGTCCCCCAAGAACAGTACTTCTGTCTTGTCAGGATTCACTGCCTGAGCAGTGTGCCTTTGGATGCCAATCTCTGAGAATCACAAGTGGGGAAAGCACTACTTCCCTTGTGCCCGGCTTGCAGGATTCCAATTGGCATCTGGTCAGCCACTGTGAGAATAGGAAGCTGGCCTTTGATGGTCCTTAATAGCTCAGTTGGGAAAGCATTACACTCTTAATGTCAGGGTTGGCGATGGGTTTGAGTCTGACGTTGGACAAAAGATTTCTGCATTGCAGGAAGTTGGACTAGATGACTCTCGTGGCCTTTTCCAACTCTACAGTTCTACAATTCTATGATCCAGCAAGTTCTCCTCCAGGTTTTCATTCCTGAAATATTTGACTCCACACCTTTCCCTGAAATTTCCAGATCCTTAAATCCATAGCCCATTCTTTCACAAACCACATTGCCCTTTTGGGGTGAGGGCACCTCTTTGGTGGACAAATGCCAAGTCCTCTGTGTTGGTCTGGGTCTGAAGTCCCCATTCATTTAGGCTGATTGGCAGTGGGCCTTCAAGATTTCAGCCAGAGGTCCAGATCCTGGGGCCTTCACTGCAGCTACGCTATAGCCTCTTCCTGATCTAGCCTGGGTAGCATCTCTCTCTCTTTCCCTCTTTCCAGCAGAGCCTTTAATAGTTGCACATCAGGAAGAAACTGCACACAGGGTAGGCAAATTGGTGCCCATCACTGCGTCTCCTTGTTGAGAAAAGCTGTTGAATTTCTGCCTCCCACACGCCTTAGAGAGGCAGCTGGTTTTTTATTTTGTTTTTCAATGAAGAACAATCTCTTTTTCTTCCCCACAAGCTGAAGGCATTTGAAAGCATGTGACGTTCTACTTTCTCAATGTCATAAAAAATATTTGGGATACTGATGCTGCGAGGATGGCAGCAGTGCCTCAGCTCGTTTAATTGTTTGTTTGATGGATCGGTTTCTCTCACACTCTATACTGGGGGCTATGAGGAACTTACAACATTTCTGCTGATTGTTAGTAGGCTGCCATGGATTTCCTGTCGGAGACAGGGCAGGGAACCCTTTTCAGGCTGCCGGCTGCATTCCTTTATGGGAAGCCACCAGGGTTTCCTGCAAACTGCTTTGAGGGGTTTTTGTTATGATAAAGTGGTGTATATAGTTTATGAAATAAACAAGCATGACTTCAGAGGGCTGCATGCCATTGGTGGGTGGAGCCAGAGGAAACCCCCCCCCCATGCAGATGGAGTTTTAACAATGAATAGACTAACTCAGGCATCTCCAGCTGTTTTGGAACTACAATTCCCATCATCCCTGACCACTGGTCCTGTTAGCGAGGGATGATGGGAGTTGTAGTCCCAAAACAGCTGGTGGGCCAAGTTGGTCATGCCTGGACTAACTTATAGTAGGGCATGTGACTCCTTTCCAGTGCTACATTCCAGTTCCACCAAAGCCAGATGTTTCTACAAACAGCAGTCATATCTCCATTCTTCATCTAGGCAAGCAAGAGTCTCTATCACACTACAACAGAGTGTGTGTGTGTGTGTGTGTGTGAGAGAGAGAGAGAGAGAGAGAGAGAGAGAGAGAGAAGGGGGTGGGCAGAGATTGTTACAATCTGTTGCAATCTGATTTGAGGATCATTCACTCCAAAGGCAGGATATAAATCTCTTAAAGACCAGCTGCGTGAGGCTGCTTACTTAACTGCTAACTTAACTGCTTACTTAACCCTGCAGCACCCATTACATCAGGCTGTGTGTGTGAAAGGAAAGGGTGTCCCGCAAGCCTCCTCCTTGAGCTTTGCCAAAAGACCTGTTGGCTCCTCTCCAGTTTCCCCCCATTCTTTTTCCACTGCAGGTTCTCTGTAGTTAAGAGCTGAGCTTGCCTCCGCCCTCTTTTCCTTTTGTGTTGTGTCTCCTAGATGGTTAACCTGAGAGCAAAAATGGTCTTCTCCCTGATATTAGTCACACTGAGAGCCTTTATTATTATTATTTGCCTGAAGAGAAGGATGGATAAAAATGATTACAAATACATACATACATACATACATACATACATACATACATACGTAAAGGTAAAGGGACCCCTGACCATTAGGTCTAGTCGTGACCGACTCTGGGGTTGCGGCACTCATCTTGCTTTATTGGCTGAGGGAGCCGGTCAGTGGCGTAGCGTGGGTTGTCAGCACCCGGGGCAAGGCAAGTAATTTGCGCCCCCTAACCCGTGGATTTGCGCCCCCTAACCCTAACCCCCAGATGTTGCGCCCGGTGTGGCCGGTCCCCCCTGCACCCCCCACGCTACGCCACTGGAGCCGGTGTATAGCTTCTGGGTCATGTGGCCAGCATCACTAAGCCGCTTCTGGTGAACCAAAGCAGCAGACGGAAACGCCATTTACCTTCCCGCCAGAGTGGTACCTATTTATCTACTTGCACTCTGAGGTGCTTTCGAACTGCTAGGTTGGCAGGAGCAGGGACCGAGCAACAGGAGCTCACCCTGTCGTGGGGATTCGAACCACCAACCTTCTGATCGGCAAGTCCTAAGCTCTGTGGTTTAACCCACAGTGCCACCCGCGTACATACATACATACATAATGTTGGAAGCAGAATGCTTCTGAATACCAGTTAGTGGAAATGGCAAGAGGGCAGAGTTCTGTTGCATTCAGGGCTTCCGTTGGGCATCTGCTTGGGCACTGCAAGAATAGAATGCTGGACTAGATGGACCACTGGCTTAAACCAGCAGGGCCCTTCTTAGGTTCTTACGTAATTACAGTGGTGCCTCGCAAGACGAAATTAATCTGTTCCGCGAGTCTCTTCGTCTTGCGGTTTTTTTGTCTTGCGAAGCAACCCTATTAGCGGATTAGCGGATTAGCGCTGTTAGCCGTTTAGCGGCTATTAAAGGCTTAGCGGCTATTAAAGGCTTAGCGGATTAGCGGCTAAAAGGCTATTAGCGGCTTAGCGGCTTAGAAAAAGGGGGGGGAGCGGAAAAAAATTGGAACACTCGCAAGACGTTTTCGTCTTGCAAAGCAAGCCCATAGGGAAAATCGTATTGCGAAGCAGCTCAAAAACGGAAAACCCTTTCGTCTAGCGGGTTTTCCGTCTTGCGAGGCATTCGTCTTGCGGGGCACCACTGTAATAGGGGCTCCTCCTCCTGCTCACTCCTACCTACCCACCCCAATTTTTCTTTCAAAAATATAGTATTGAGGTATGTAAGTGAGGACTAACTAACTAGCTGAAGAGGGAGATGTTTGAAGCTCAACAGTATGAGAGAAGGGAGGCCCACAAGATTAGTTGCCAACAGTGGCATCATCAAAATATCCAGTCTTATTGCAAATTTTGCTTTTCTGGGGCACGTGGCTTATTTGAAGTGCCTTTGGAGAGTCTCTCCCTTCGATTTGTGCTGCTACTTTGCAAGCCTCAGTCAGCGCAGTTGTGGCATGGCTAAAGTAATTAATCAAACAGCATCCATGGTGACTCGTTGGCGAACTTTGCATTAATGGACTCATTAGTGCGCTACATCTGAGAAGGTAGAGGAGATGTATACGGCTCAGTGGCCTCTAGGATATCTCCAGGTGGGGTTTGGGTGTGTGTGGATATTTGCTAAAATTAGCATTTTCCATTTCAGTGCTGTTGGTGCCACAGCAACCCGACAAGGAAAATGAAGGCTTTGCTTACTAGGCCATTATGCCTGTGGAGAAGAGAATTGCTTTATAGTCCTATCTGCTTAGGCAAATTTGGAAATCAAAGAGGATGATAGCTTGAAGGCATCAAAGTAGAAGCAGCATTAACATGACAGAGCTGGAGGGTTGGATAAAAGCAAGCAGGCGGGAGTGGCAGCCTGAGCATTATTTTTTTTAGTCTGAGGCCAATTGTGAGTTTGCTCATGCTGATGCTCCAGGCTGAAATCATTGTTTTATAGGGCTCAATGCACCCTTTTATATCACCCCCTTGTGACACAAGATCTCTGCTGAGTTGGTAGCTGCAGTACCGCTACTGGCCACCTGTAGTGGTGGTGCTGCAGCATAACAGGGAACAGCTGAGGAACTCCATCACAAGAATATTGAACCCTGCCTTATGCTGAGTCAGACCATTGATACAGAGAATAGGATATGTGAAAAAGTCCTCCTTTTTGTCTGTGCTGAATATCCCACCATTCTAGGTAAAGGTAAAGGGACCCCTGACCGTTAGGTCCAGTTGTGACTGACTCTGGGGTTGCGGCGCTCATCTCACTTTATTGGCCGAGGGAACCGGTGTACAGCTTCCGGGTCATGTGGCCAGCATGACTAAGCCGCTTCTGGCGAACCAGAGCAGCGCACGGAAACGCCGTTTACCTTCCCGCCGGAGTGGTACCTATTTATCTACTTGCACTTTGACGTTCTTTCGAACTGCTAGGTGGGCAGGAGCGGGGACCGAGCAACAGGAGCTCACCCCGTCACGGGGATTCGAACCGCGACCTTCTGATCAGCAAGTCCTAGGCTCTGTGGTTTAACCCACAGCGCCACCTGCGTCCCATCTGCCTACTGAGCAGCAACTCCCACTATGAGTTAAAGGAGTGGTGCTGAGCTGCTGGAACTTGCTCAGATCATGATGGAGACAAGTCTTCTCTTTCTGGAGGCTAGGGACAAATTTCTGACAACAACTCTTCAGCAGGGTGAAGTTGTCAGGTTGATTTTAACGGTGCTATCTTTATGTGCTGTGTCTGCAGGACACGGAAGTCCTGAACACAGCCATCCTGACGGGGAAGCCGGTGTCTGTCCCAGTAAAGGTGGTTGCCGTTGAAGAAGATGGATCGGTGAGAGATGTGTCTGGTTCCACCGAATGCAGATCAGCTGATGAAGACGTCATAAAGGTAAGGAAGTCCACCCCAGTTCTAAACAGATGCCTTTGAGATGGTCACAAGAAGAGCCTGGCCACGGTGGCCTTCTCCTATACCTGGTATTCAGAGAGATAACACTGCCTCTGAAAATAGAGGTCCTTTATTCACTGATGGTATTTTACTCCATGAATTCACCTATTCATCATCACTCCTAACAATGAACTCAAGTGGTGAGTGCCAACAGCAATGAGGCCTCTGAGAAACCAGAGGGTAGTATCAACATACCCTGATGTTTGCAGAAGTATGACCTTTCTACAAGCCCAGGGACTGAGCATGCTCTGTCTTCATTTAGTGTTCATTGTCAGTTGGAAAAGAAAATTGGAAAATGAAAGTAGTGATGCAGACTCTGGTATTCAGCTTTTGGAAAGCGCCATCATGTAAAAGATGTGTGTGCAAAAAGCTAGCACATCAAAGGTAAAGTTTGCAACCTAGCCTCTTCCTCCTGTGTTCATTTTCTAATTGCAGGGGGATTTTTCTTGCAGGAGAACATTCAAAATGTGAGCATCCACCTGAAATCTTTTCAAGACTCTGCTATCACACCCACAGCACATTCACTTGCATGTGCAGACCAGGACCGTGTGTGGAAAAACTAGTCAGGGCTGCAGAGCATGGAGGACCTGTGGACCTCCAGATGTCACAGAACTCCCATCAGCCTCAGCTAGCAAGGCCAATGGTAAGAGATTATGGGAGTTGGAGTCCATCACCATCTGGAGGGCCACAGGTTCCCCAACTTTCCTCTAGAATTATTTCAAATACTCTTGCAGCTTCTGGAAGCAGACATTTCCTTCTGGATTTCATGCTGCTAATGATTTGCAAGCTGGCATATATGTCCCCTGTGGATTTCTGTTTGAACCTCCAAGCCTTGCCTCTTTGTATTTTATGCTCATCAGTCTAACCTTTTATTTTGAGTTGACATATGACTGGTGATGGCTTCAAAGGTAGCAGAGGCTTTGTCAGAGAATCATTAATTGGGGATCTTAAGTGGGCTGGGAAATATTAGGGCTGGCCTATTATTCATTCTCAAATAGACAGCTCTGGTTTTTATACCAGACCCCGAAACTCACCTTCTCACCTTACTTTTAAAGACTTTGAATGAGTTCAAGTAGAATGAAACAATGGGGGAGGGAAGAAAGTTCAGCAAATTCTCCAAGTCATTTTGCAGCTTTGAATTTGGCAGTTAAGAAATGTGACCTAAACTTTTATTGAGTAAAATACGGGAAAATAGTATTTGGGATACAGCAATGTCCAAGCTTCTTACCATTGCATTAAAGGCATAATGAATAGAGACACCTTCCAAGAAATGTAGACCCCTTTCTTTAATGATGTTAATGGCCCAAATCAAAACCTTGTTATACCAACCACTCAATACTTCACAGTGGGGAAATTGCGTTAAGTAATATGTTAGCATGTTGAATGTGTAAGTTTATGTCTAGATACAGATAGGTAGCCGTGTTGGTCTGCCATAGTCAAAACAAAAAAATTCCTGCCAGTAGCACCTTAAAGACCAACTAAGTTAGTTCTTGGTATGAGCTTTCGTGTGCATGCACACTTCTTCAGATACCAGGTATCTGAAGAAGTGTGCATGCACACGAAAGCTCATACCAAGAACTAACTTAGTTGGTCTTTAAGGTGCTACTGGAAGGAATTTTTTTGTTTTGTTTATGTCTAGAGTCAATGGATAAAAGAAACATAATTAGATGTACTGCTGGATAAGTGTTTAATGGTTCTTGTATTTGTTTAAAAACAAATAAAAATTTGTTGCAAAAAATGGGGGGGGGGGAGAGTCTCCCTCTCTTCTTATTGTAGCTTCTAAGGCAGAGACAGAGGAACCAGTGGCCCTCCAGATATTGCAGAACTTCACCTCCCACCATCCCAGCTAGCATGGCCAATGATCAGGGATAATTGAAGTTGTAGTCCAACAATATCAGACTTATTTTGCAGGGGTGGGTGGGTCCCTTCCTGGAAATTTTGACTCATCTCTGCTTTGTACTGGAATTGGCAAGGGCTTAATTCCTTGAGAATCCTTACCTGTTTCCACCTGCTGGCATTAGGAGATGTCTCCCAAGCTGTTCAAGGGGTTAACTCTGCTTGCAAGCCACCTGTGCTAAATTATGAATGACTCCTACCGTCACTGCTTCTCTGATGGCAACCAAGCTACCCCACTGCAGCTGACACTTCTACATGCTAGTCCTCAGCAAAATTCCATGCCAGGAGAAGTTTAGGAAGCCATAGAAATAGACTAGAGAATGAAACAAATGCTCCATATAGAGCTCCCTCACTACAGGAAAGTGGGACAAATGATTGATCAGAAAATGTACAGTAGATCCCAGCGTATAAGACGACTTTTTAACTCCGGAAAATCCTCTTAAAAGTTTGGGGTCATCTTATACGCTGGGTATGGGTTCGCTGGGCAGTAGCAGTGGGCGGCGGGCTCTGCTCCACGCCGGGAGGAAGCCGCCTAGCAAAGCCGACAGCATCGCTGGGCAGCTTCGCCGGGCGGCTTCCTCCTGGCGCAGAGCCCGCTGCCCACTGCCGCTGCCCAGCGAAGCTGCCGCATATAAGACTGGGCATATGTCGACCCCCCAAATTGGCAGCTACCAATTTGGGGGGTCGTCTTATACACCCAGTCGCCTAATACGCCGGAATCTACGGTATCTCATTGAAGTAGGCCCATGCCACATTGCAGCACTAATGGATAAAATGGGTGTTTCATCAGAAAACGTGTTCTAGTCCAGACAGGGTCTGGTGAACCTTAGCTAGAGACCCACATCATGGCCACAGTTTTGCCTGTGACCCACCTGGGATGGTCTTGCGACCCACCTGTGGGTCCCAACTGGTTGATGATGACCTATGGAGTAGATATTATTGAGCTAGATGGACCAGCAGCCTGACTCAGTATATCTATGGCAGCTTCTTCTGTTCCACCCCATCATAAGGAGGTGTTTGTGTGCCAACCTTCTGCAGACCGTGCATTCCTGAGACAGTTAAACCATCATTTCTGTATACACAGTCAGGATAAAGGTGTGATTAAGTGATGTGTTTGCCCTGCCTTCCCAAAGAGCATTGAAAAGGTCAGCTAGTGCTTCTGATCCCTGCCATTGATTTTGAGAATACCCTGGATCAGAAGAGATAGAGTAAAGAAATATTGTAAGATCACTGCCACTGAAAGATGAAAAGAGAGGATAACCTTTGTTGCTCTGCTTCCTGCCAGTGGCCAGGGAAGATGGGAGTTGGGAGCCCAGTAATATCTGGTGGGTAAAATGTTGGCCACCCCTGGCGCAAGGAAGAGTGAGCTCAGCAAACCAGTTGCTTGACTTGACATAAGGCATTCCCTTCACTCTTGTATCTCCTCTGGCTTGCACAAAAACGCCTCACTTTTCTTGTGACTCTCGTGACTTCCTGGAGATGAAACATCCTAAAAGCTACAGTTGCATTGTTTAGTTGATGAGCAAACTAAATTAATCAGTTCAGATGGTTTCGATGGACTTGAAGAATAAAGAAATCATTTCATCCCACTCGTAAAATGTAAGAGCAGAAATATTAAAACAGCACTCTTATAACCTTTAAAGGGCAAAATCCCCATAGGAACATGTAGAAATGTGTGGTCCCTAATATCCATTTGGCCAAATGCGTTTTGACAAAGTCTTCTTCAACGGCTGGATATTTCCTTAGGCTTTGATGTAAGGGAACACGATTCCTAAAATGAGGACAAGTCGTATAAACATGCAGGATACTTACGTCCTCTCAGGTGAGCCAACTTGGGACCCATACCGTGGGTACCCAGTGTGCATGTGCCACACCTCTCCACACGTCATGATGTTGGCACAGTATGTACATGTCCTCCGGCACTGCGATGGCAACTGGGCCGGGACGTGCGCCTCCACTGTGGAGCCTCTATTGAGGCCTGTGGCTGTGGCTGCACCCTGGAAGCATGTCTGCGGCTGCAGCAGGCCTCAACAGAGGCCCCACGGTGGAGGCACCAGCCCCGGTCCAGTCACGGCTGCAGTGCTGGAGCGCCAGAGATAAAATGGCAGGCGGCAGGGTCAGAGGCCCAACAGCCACAGCAAAAACTTTGTGGGTGCCTGAGCTCCCAGGGCCCCTTGGAGTTGACACCAGTGCATCCCCTCAATTTCTTGTTTTACTGTTTTAATCAGAATAAAAAAAAATCCTTCCAGTAGCACGTTAGAAACCAGCTAAGTTTGTTATTGGTATGAGCTTTCATGTATATGAAGAAGTGTGCATGCACACGAAAGCTCATACCAGTAATAAACTTAGCTGGTCTCAGTCTAATGTGCTACCGGAAGGAATTTATTAATTTTGTTTTGACTACGGCAGACCAACACCTACCTGTTTTAATCAGGAAATAGTAATTTTGGCAGGCACTAATGAGCCATGAAAAAAATACAGTGGTACCTCGGGTGTCAGGGGCCGCCTCAGGTTCCAGCTCACAAGAGACCAACGCCAAGTCCACTTTATTTACAAAAGTCTTTATTGAAGTACATTGTTTGCTCCACAGCCGAGGCGCGCAGCCCTACGTCTGTTATGCTTAGACCGCTGAAGTCCCCTCTGAATCAGTCCCGCCTCTACACCAGTTTAAGAGGCTTGTGCTGGTCCACCTCTTCCTGTCCTTTCTTTTCCGCAGGGTCTTTCTGCCCCCCTGGGTTCCTTCCCTCCTGGATTCCCCTGACGCTGAATCCCCAGACGCCTGCTCCCCCCTCCTCCGTGCTTTGGGACCAGGCTCCTCCTCCGGGCTCTCCGCATTTCCGCGCGCCTCCACATTTGAACTTGGCGCGCGTTCGCTACCTCTGACCTTCCTCTTGACAGTTACACTACTCTCTGTACTACTCTCCGCCCCTTCCGGCAGGACGTCTTGCCCCGATCTCCTTCCCCTCTCTGCTTCCTGCTCTGCTTCGTCTGTCACACTGGGAACTCCACCCTCTTCACTCCGTTCCGGCGGGGAAGCCGGCCCCGAT